AACCCTGGGAGATACTAAATAAAGGACACAGAGAAAAGTCACTTCTGCAGGTCACCTGCTGTTCTGGGACTTGATGCTACATTGAACATTCGAACATTCTAATGCCACATCCCACCACTTCTGAGAGTCCAGTGATTCCTTATCAGGCAATTTCAATAACCCTTTCACCCCAAATTTTTCAAGATTTCTTTCCGGGTTTGTGAATGTGTTCACTGTGTCTGTCCCTAAATAACTTCCTACTTTTAAAATATTTTGCTTCATCAACAGTTAAGTGCACAGTCTTTAACTTTTTTCTAATACACACTCACACAAACACAAACATTTTTCCTAATGAAAATTGGATCTTGCTGTATATATTGCCCCAGGACATACTTGTTTACAACACTAAACCTTAAATACTAATTTTATATTATTCATGATCTATATGGTTTTCTTTCTTTCATGTTAGAAATAATGCTACTATAAACATCTTTGTATATAAATCATTTTGCATAGCTCTAGTTACCTCCACAGAATAAATTTCCAAATGGCATTTGCCACTAACATAAATTCTTAAAAGTGCAATTACTATATAAAAAGACTTGAATTGTTATTAAGTCTGCATACACCTGTCTATTTCTTACAGGAATGAACTCTCTGCATCCATTTTGGTGTCTATTAGGCTCATCTCCTAACGTTGACAATAAAAGCCCACTCTTCAGTTGTGCATTCCTTCAGCGTTAATCCCAGGCATCTCACTCTCCTCAAGAGAAAACTCCAGCATATTAACTCTGAGAAGGACCAAATCTACTTTTTACGTTACGTACATTTTTATGGCTTAATTTGTATGAAGTACTGTTGTAAGAAAATTGTCTGAATTATCTTATTTCATGCTCACAACAGCAACCCAAAAAGGCAGGTGATATTATCATCCTTATTTTACAGACGGGAAAACTAGGACATAGAGAGGACAAGTAACTGGCCCAAGGTCACACAGCTAATAAAGCTCATCCAGGCAACCTGGCTTCAGAGTCTATGGTTTAACTACTCCATAAAGCCACCTCTCCTCACCAATTTTAAGTTCAGTGCCTGATACTCACTAAATGATAAGTTCTCAATAAAAATTGGTTGAATTAATGAATTTTTACTGCCCCGTTTAACATACATTTCTCTCCCACAGCTTCATGTAAAGGTCTGGATGAGAAGTCAACCTGGGGCCATATTTCCTTGGAAACCATACAGTTAAGAGATACACAGTGTTGTGTCCAGAAATCCCTTATATGAAATTCAGCCTCTGGGTTGGAAATCAAGGCTGCTTTTCTGTGTCAAAGTACCTTGGATCCTCCAGACAAGAATGGAATGGTTCATTCTTATTCATATGATTTACAGCAGCAAAGCTTTCCATAAATAGTAGGTTTTTATTTTTTCTATTTTTATTTTTTAATTGTTTTATTGCCGTCATATTGGCTTATAACGCTGTGTGACTTTTAAGTGTATGTTATTATATTTCAGTTTTTGTATAGACTGCATCCTGTTCACCACTAATAGTCCAGTTTTTATCTGTCACCACACATATGAGCCTCTTTACCCCTTTCACCTTCCCCCAACCAGCTTCTCCTCTGGTAACGACTAATTTATTCTCCTTATCTATGTGGTCTTTTATCTGTCTTCCACATACAAATGAAATCATAAGATAATTTGTTTTTGTCTGTCTTATTTTGTTTAGCATAATACTCTTAAGGTCCATCTATGTTTTTGAAAATTGTAGGATTTTGCCTTTTATGCCTGAGTAGTCTTCCATCGTATACATACAGCATGCCTTTTTTATCCATTCATCGATTGATGGTCTCTTGTGTTGCTTCCCTGTCTCGGCAATTGTGAATAATGCTGAGGTGAACATAGGGGAGCATAAATCCTTTTGAATTATTAATTTCATGTTCTTTGGGTAAATATCCAGTAATGGAATAGCTGGATCATATTTTTAATATTTTGAGAAATCACCATACTGTTTTCCATAGTAGTTGCACCAGTTTGCATTCTACCAACAGTGTATGAGGATTTTCTCCACATCCTCCCCTACGCTTGTTATTTCCTGTCTTCTCTAGCCATTCTGGTGGATGTGATGTGATATCTCATTGTAGTTTTGATTTAAATTTCCCTAATAATTAGTGATGCTGAACGTCTTTTCATGCACTTGTTGGCCATCTGTATATATTCTTTGGAAAAATGTCAGTTCATATCTTCTGCCCATATTTTGATTGGGTAGTTCATTTTTTTTGTTGTTGAGTTTAATGCATTTCTATATTTTTTGGAAATTAACTTTTTGTCAGATATGTGATTTTCAAATTTTCTCCCATTTGGTGAGTGGCCTTTTCATTTTGTTGATGGTTTCCTTTACCTGTAGAAACTTTTTAGTCTGATGTAGTCCCACTTGTTTATTTTTTATTTTGTTTCCTTTGCCTGAGCAGACATGATATTCAAAAAGATATTGCTAAGACCCATATCAAAGAGAATGCTGCTTATGTTTCCTGGTAGGAGTTTTATGGTTTCAAGTCTTACTTTCAAGTTTTTAATCCATTTTGAATTAAATTTTGTGTATGGTGTAAGATAATGTACAGCAAATCTTTAACAAAGGGGCCAGGAACATACAGTGGAGAAAAGAAAGTCTCTTTAGTAAATAATGTGGGAAAAACTGGACAACCTTGAGCAAAAAAATGAAAGAAGATGGTGAATTTTTAAAGGAAGTTTCTCAGTGAGTAAGAAAGCAGGAAGCACTCAGAGAAAGGGGTTGTTTTGCCCCTTTGCAGCTGCAGCATGACCTGGGGAGAAATATTATTTCTGATAACTATGTAGTTGGCTTTATCAAATATGTCTGGTATCCCAGACTGATGACTGGCAGTGCAGATTATTATATTCTGAGCTAATTTTTAGATTCTCAACCCTTTCTATTGTAATGCCCACTCCCTTTTTTTATTTTGTCTCTGAACTCTACCCCATGTGTCTCCTCAGCTTTCGTCACAAGTGATTTTATTCCTGCTCTTTTTTCAACTTATTTGTAGGCCCCACATCCTACAGGTCCTCCAGAACATCAATTCCCTTCTTGCATCATCATTGAAGAAGAGAGCACTTCTCTTAGCAGATGCCTGAGAATGAACAGAAGAGCCCTGAGGCAGTGCTTGTCCCTGTCTCAAGCTCTTCCTGAGAGGCAGTCCTGGAGGCTCCTGCTTACACAGCCTCCTGGAGGGAGCCTGACTCTTGCTAGGAGTGGCCAAGTACCTGGTCCAGACTGTCAATATCATTGGGGATGGATAGGCATTTAGGAGCTAGAAACTCCCAGATAAAAATGCCCCACTGATCACTTTAGAACATGTAACTGAAAGGAACTCCTACATTTGTTTTTCAAAAACAGCATTGGTGCGTCAAGCTTTTCACAACTGTGTTCTTCTACATGATAGATGTGCTAAAGTATCCATGGGAAAATGCTTTGATGTTTGCGACTAACTTTAAAAGGCACCAAACAAATAAATAAATAAGGAAGAATTGAAATAAATAAGGATGGATAGGAGGATGAACAGAAGGATAAATTATAATAAATTGAGTAGATTAAATGTTCACTGTAGAATATAGATAGTCGGTATCCTTGGAGTTCATTGAAAAAGTCCTTTAACTTTGCTCTATGCTTCAAAATTTTCATGATACACTGTTAATAGTAGAGGATGGAGAGGGAATAATCATATTTTGTTGCTGATAACAGATACCGTAAGTGCCATTGGCTTAAAGAAAACAAGAGTTGTTTGCCTTCCATGTAAAATGAATTCAGAAGGTAGCTATCTAGAGCTGGTCTGGCAGCTCAGAGATGCATCAATATCCCAGCCTCTTTCTGTTGTTATTCTCTGCCATCTCAACAAGTGGATTCCATTCTCAAAGATTCCTCATGGTCACAAGATGGTGGCTACACTCAAGCTCCAAGGATCATGTTCTAGGCAGAAGAAAGGAGGAAATAGGAAGACTATGGATCTCTCTTGAGAAATACAACCCAACAATTTCCACCTACAAATCATTGGCTCAAACTTAGTCCCTTGTATTTCCTATCTACAAGGGGGAGGGGCAGATTGCTGTAAACCCTCCCCCCAAATTCGGTTTGATTACTAAGAAGAAGCACGAAGTAGATATTACACAAGGATCCTGCCATGTCTACCACAGAGCTTAAATTCAGACTTTTGGAACAGAATCAAATTCCATCAGCCAAGATACATCGTAGCCCTGGGAGCTTTAATCACTGTCTTGGAATGTCAATAAAGTGTCTTGGGAAGCTCTAGGCCACGGTCATTCACAGCCTACCCAGAGTCTAACCTCAGAGAATACAGAATCCTGTTGGCAGAGTAGAAACAAATACACATGAAAATACAAATGTAGCACAAATAAGGCACAACGGGTGAAGGAAGCTGCTCAGCAACACTGCAAACAAGCATATTCTGAAAAATCTAAGACATGCCCATCAGCCACTGGCAGCACTGCCTCTGGAAACCTGAAAATTATATGACTTGGTAACGGATCTGAGATGAGTTTCAGAGGTGCCAAAAAGATAGAGTAGATCTTGTTTTCTTTCCATTCGCACTTGCATTTGTCTCTGTTGTAAAAGATGTCCTCCTCTGTGTGCCCACCTACATCCACACAGATGTTAGCGAACGGCTACAGAAACATTTTACTTGATACACGTCTTCCTCTCTTCACATATTAAAATCTTGTAATTTTCCTGCTTGGTTCTGCTGATAAATCTATTATGATATAAAAGACATAAACTAAGTGTATATAATGAAATCCTGATTATACACAAATATGCACATGAATGATTCAGATAGGTAAACACAGAAAGACACAAACAGTGTGGGAATTAGGGATGGAAGTTTTCTTCTTTATGTACAATCCAATACAGTTACAGTTTCATTCTAACCTTCCCCACTGGTGTCTGTCCCCACTGATAAGAAACACCCCTCTGAGCCAATCAAAAAACTAATTCTTCCAAAGAGGGACTCTGTGACTGTTTCTCACAGTGAGCAGCATTTCCTTCATTTCCTTTTCTTCCAGAGCAGACTGTTAACTGTAGTGAAGAACTATTGATTACTTCACTCTGTGGCCTGCGATGTTCAGATGGGAACGCCGAGGGGTAAGTGGGGGAAATTGGTAAAAGCCAGTGTTGCACACCCTGGGAGGAGAGAGGCTAAGAAGCTGAGAATGGGTGTAAAGAAGTCCTCACCCAGAGAAAGGGGTTTGGTGCTTGTGTGTGTGGTGAGGGGATGGGCATTGGGGCAGGAGGCAGTGCAAAAGGTAAGGACTTGCATTGGGAAATTTGGTGGGAAGGAGAAAATCTGAATGAAAAAACTTGACAACTACATGTTCTTAGGAACTTACTGTGGTGATAAAGGAGGAAAGGACTCTAATAATCTGTCCTGGTCGTCTCCAGGAGGGTATTCTAGGAGATTATAAAAAAGATATGTGCCTTAAAATTTATACGTGAAGATGTTCATTACAGAATTACTTGTAGTATAGAAAAATCAGAACCAACCTCTGTATACAACATACATATACATATATAAAAGTAGGAGGATGATAAACAACACATTGTGCAATCATGAAGGGATTTCCATATAATCATTAGAAACACGTTACAAATAAAGAGTTTTTATTTATAATTGTAACAAAATTGGATCCAATTTGGGTGTTTAAAATGTACCTACATTTTGCTTTTGCAGATTTTACTATGATGAACAGCCTTGAACATATATCTTTGTGTTAATACCTGATGTTTTTTCCTTAAGAATAATTCCTACAAGTGGAATTTCTGGGTCAGAAAATGAAACATTTTAGAGGCATTTCATATACATACATGAGCAAAATACTTCCAAAATATTTACATTCCTTTGAAGAGAGGTATATAATTGCCAGAACAGATTACTTAAATTTTATTCTTTTAAATTTTTCTCTATTTTAAAATTGTCTTAGTGAAGAACAAAAACCAATAAATATCCCCCAAAATGAGTGAAAACATATTCCCCACTCTTAGAGAGCAGAGAAATTGTACTTATTATAATAATAATAATACCGTCCTCTCTGGCAGCATAGGGAACAGTTTGAAGAGGAGAGGATGGACTGAAAGGCAATATTTTGTCTGATGTGGTTTTCACATTCAGACAAGGGTTCAAAGGTTGACCATCTGCACAGACTTCTGCTCCCTTCTCCCCCGGCAGTTCCTGGATTAGCAGGTACTATGACTGGGGCCTCATGCTGGTTCGTTTGGAGGAGTTGGTATTTTCTGAACAACTAATACGTTGCAATCACTATAATTACTTGTGACAATTCTTCGTTGCTAAGTTGTATATGAAAATTTTTAAAATTTAAAACACTCAAATAATTTTTAAAGTATAGAGCATAAAAGACAAAAGAATCTTTCACTCAATCCCCAATTTTCAGTTTTGCATGTTTCCTTTTAGACCTTTTTTAAGGTAATGAAATAAAAAAGTGAGTAGAAATTTACAGTTTTGTTTTTATTTTTAACAGAAATCATTAGTAGTGTTCTGCAATTTGCTTTTTGTTCACTTCATATATCTTTATTATCTGGGTAGGAGAGTATAAATTAGTCTTAGGTGCCGCATTGAATTCATTCAGTGTTGAACCGTTATTTAACTAACCAGTCTCCTATGGGTGTCACAATAGGTTGTGATCCCTTTTTGTTACTTTTAAAAATAATGCTGCAGTGTCATCCTCACATGTGCTTCTCTCTGGACCCGTGCAAGTGCTTTGCTGGACTAGATGTCTGCAAGTGGCTGTACTGGGGCAATTCTACACACTCTACAGATCATTTTTTGCATTGCTTCATTAGTGACTAAAGTTCAAATAGGTTTTCTCACATGGCAGTGATCACAGAGCTTGTGAATCATAGAGCCATTACCTAGTTTCCACTCCCTTTCTGTTCTTCTACCTGCCACATAGCAGGCCTGGCACATAGTGCATGCTCCATAACTATTTTTTGAATGAATGAATGAAAAGATGAGTGAGACTGGGTCTTAGTCTTAGCTCTCTCATCACTAGTCTTGTGATTCAGAAGTGGTGGGTTCAGCCTCTAACTGACTTCAAAGCCTCCACCAAGGAGTCCGCCTGGATCTTAACTAGAGTCTGATGGAGGCATGATTTGAACTTGGTGATGGCCACAGGTTGGAACTTAGCAGAGACTGCAGTGTTGCTCCCCAGGTGGGCACACCCTCATATCACCTGACATCTTCAGGGAGGGAGAGGATACAGGATGGGAGAGGCCCAAGAGAAAAGGGAGGAGCTAGATCCAGAGATCTCAGTCCTGTCTCTGAGTAGTCCACCTAGGCCTGCTCTCAGGCTCTCCACTATCTAGGGCTGCAGCCAACTGTGGTATCATTAGGATGGAAGCCAAGCTAGAACTACAGTTAGAATCAAGCCTTGCCAGCTGGTGAAGGCCCCACACTTTGCTTATCATGAAGGTTCATATTGATGCCACAGACCATGCCTAAAAGTTGATGGAGGTGCTTTTCTGAGCCAAGACACAGTTAGGAGCACTGGGCAGGGAGTGGGGAGTTGCAGAGGCCCTGCCTCTGGGCTGAGAGAACCTCAGCACTTCGTAGAGCCATGAGCTTTGTTGGGCTGCTGTGTGCTCCTAGCCTGACATATTAGCCCCTTCTTTGCAAGTACAAGCTCTTACATTTCTGCCTTGAAGAGGCACTTCTCTAGCAGTGGAGATACTAAGACCAGGGAAATTATCCATTGCTGGTAAGCCCAGAGGCCATCTGCCAAGGAGCATTGGTGAACACCTGGGAAAAAAGAAGACAGGAAATGAATAATTTCCTTCCCAGTGATGTTTCCCCCCCAAAAAAACAATTGTGAAAAGAGTGCACTGAATCACACCGAGTTGTAACACTCTTACATGTTATCTAGGACATACTTGCTCCGTGAAACCACTTCATTGAAAAGTAGGAATAAATACATTAATATAGGCAATTCCTAGTAGAAGCACAGGACACAAGGCTCTCTCTCCATGCCAGACCAAAAAAGTAGGTTATTACTTTTTTGAGTAGTGGCAGATACTTATCTTCACAACTCTCTGCCTTCCCTTGTTGGATGACAAGCTGTTAATCTGATCACCTAAAACCAATTTAAAATGCTAGTGAGGCCAGCCAGTGGTGCAGCAGTTAAGTTCGCACGTTCTGCTTTGGCAGCCCAAGGTTCGCCAGTTTGGATCCCAGGTGTGGACCCACACACCGCTTGTCAAGCCATGCTGTAGTAGGCATCCTACCTATAAAAAGTAGAAGAAGATGGGCACGGATGCTAGCTTAGGGCCAGTCTTCCTCAGCAAAAAAAGAGAGGAGGATTGGTGGCAGATGTTAGCTCAGGGCTAGTCTTCCTCAAAATAAATAAATGATAAAATAGATAAATAAACAAAATGCTAGTGAGTATTGATGGGCTAATAAATTCATCCTCATCCATTCACTTATTCAACGAAAAGTTTCTGAGGGTTCCATGCAAACCATCCACTATTGTACAGGCTCATCACACATTAGAAAACAAAATAGACCAATATTCTTGTTTGTGGAGCTTCCACTTGAGTAGGTGGAGACAGACAGTAAGCACATGGTATGCTAGATGGTGAAAACTTAATGGGGAGAAGAGAGTAGGCTTCGGGGGATGGGAGCAGTTTGCCATAATCCTGTGGTCAGAGAAGTTCTTGAGGAGGAAGTGACTTTAGAGGAAAGACTCGAAGGAGGTGAGGGAGTGAGCCTTGTGGATGTCAGGGGGAAGAGGGTTCCAGCTAGAGGGAAGAGTCAGAGCTGAGGTCCTCTGTCCTGGCCCGTTCAAGGACCAGCAAGAAGGGCAGGGTGTCTGGAACAGACAAGGAGGGTTGGAAAAGACAAAGTGAGAGGTTCAGGTCAGGGAGGGCCACATGATGTGACTCAAAGCACATTCTGGCTGTTGCGTTGACATAGACTGTAGGGGGCACAAGTGGAATCAGGGGACCCAGAGAGGGGGTTCCTGTATTAATGAGAGTGTGATGGTGCTGGCTTGGATGTGGCTGTAGCAGTTGGAGTATGGAAAGTGGAAGGATTCTCAACATATTTGGACAGTAGAGACAAAGTTTTCCTCATTGAATAGGGTTAATGCATGTACATTTAACGTTATGTATTTTTATGGGTGATTTTCCATGTGAAACTCAAAGGTTAAGAAACTCCCAAGTAGATATTTTGGCAGAAGAGGTCTTGAGTCACCACATTCATGACTGTGTGTTTCACAAAATTGGCCGTTGCGAGGTGGAGGTTGGATGTGGAATTCACAATCTTTTTCTAGATCCAGGTCATAGTTTCTTCTCAACTCTTTCTGGCATCTCTCTACAGCACTGATGAAAATGGCAAGTTCCCTAGACTTCATTCTCCTTGACCTCCTTGTCGGCCTCATCTTCTTCCAGCTGCTTACCCCCTGCTCAGGTAGGGACCGTTCTGCTTTTATGTATCTGAAGCAATTACCTATGAGTGTCCAGTCAGAACCTCTGACAACTTCTCATACCTGGAAGTCCCACGCCAAGCTGAAAGTACTCATGACAATTAGACAAATTATACTTCTGTTAGGATCATGTTCCTCTGTAGGTTATTCATACCTCCCCCTCCCTGCCTGTGATGCTCTCACCTTACCCTCATGGCCTCAAGTCCCTCTGATGGAGCTTCTCCTTTTATTGACTAGCTCAGTTTTCTGTGATTGGACCCACTGTAACCATTCTGGTCATGGCGGGTGAAGATGTTGATCTGCCCTGTCATCTGCCCCTGAACGTGAGCATGGAGACCATGGAGCTGATCTGGGTGAGATCCAGGCTTAGGGAGGTAGTATACCAGTATGCAAATGGGCAAGAAGTGGAAGACAAACAGATGGCAGAGTATCGAGGGAGAACTTCACTTTTAAGAGATGGCATCGCTGAAGGAAAGGCTATTCTCCGAATTAGTAATGTCAGAGCCTCTGACAGTGGAAACTACCTGTGTTATTTCCAAGATGGCAACTTCTCTGAAATAACCCTGGTGGAGCTGAAGGTTGCAGGTGAGCCTCCAGATTTTACTCTGTGCTAGTTCCTCCCTGGGACCTGGAAGCAGAGGAAGACGTCATCCTCCAAATCTACCTCAGACCACCCTGGCTGGTCACTTGGAACTGCCTCCACCACTTTCCCATTTTGTTTCTCTGAGGCCCTTGGGAAAGACAGAGGTTTTCCTCTGGGAAGAATCCCCCCTACACCCTGTAATATCACGTAAAGAACTCCCTCATGCTGGCCACCAGGGTCTAAGCAGGAAAGTGGAAGGTTGGGGAGAGGAAGGATAAGAAAATATCTCCTCAGTGATGGCACACAGTTGTTTGGGTTCAGGTGTGTTCCAGATGGCTTCGGTGGCCCCTCCAGGTGCATGGTACTGTGGGTCCCAGAAGGCTGACCTGTGGGAGAGCATCTGTGCTGCCAAAGTTCTCTAAACAAAGGCCTCTAGGAACATACCAAGTTTTGTTTATTATTTGTTACAGGGAGGGAGGATGCACTTCATGTGGGAACCAGGGAGTGTCTCAGTAAGAGAGTGTTAGAGAAGAGTTGCTATAGGAGTGGGCTTGTGTTAGGGGAGCTGGAAGAGGGTTTATGGAAGTGGAGCTTTTCTCTGGATTGGATGCTGTCACGAAGGTGGGGGGTGTGATTCTGTGGGTGGGTATCTTAAAAAAAGTCAAATGCAGGGCAGTTTGTATAGAATGCTGTCTTTGTTGTAAAGAAGAAAAAATAAGACATATTTATATTTTAAAATTTGATATACACTTGCATAGCCCTCACTCTGTGTCAGGCACATTATAAGCATTAATTTAATCCTTTACCCTTATGAGTGGGGTACTGTTATTACCCCAAGTTACAGATTAGGACACCAGGAGCAGAGCAGTGAAATAATTAGTCCAAGATCACACTGCCAGTCAAGTGGAGGAGCCAGAATTTGAACTCCAGCCCTTCAACTCCAAAGTTCACACTCTTAACCACCATATTAAGCTGATTGATTAAGCTAATAAATGGAGGCATGGAGGAGGGAGTGGATGGGAGACTTGAACGACTTTTTATATTTTTTTTGATATTTGAACCATTTAAAAGTGACCTATTGAAAAATTAAGTTAGAAAAAACATGTGATTCTGTTGTTCAAGTAACTCATATTCAGATATGAGAAGAGACTGTTCAAGACAAGCCATAGTATTACGTTATAGTAAGAGTTTATCAAAGTCTTACCCAAAGATTGCTGAGACGTTAGGAGGAGAGAGAGCACTTAATGTCATGAGATCAGCTCTGTGATCCCAGCCCTGGAGGTGAGAGGGTAAAGCTCCATTTCATTGCAGACCCCTTCTGGAGGACCCGGACCTTCACCCTTGCTGGGACCCTGGCAGTCTTCCTGCTGCTTCTCTCAGTAGCAGGTTACGTCCTGTGGCAAGAGAAGCCAAAAGAGGCTGTATCCCAGGAGAAAGAGACAGAACAAAAGGAAAAAGAGCCAGCATGGGCACAAGAGGAACAGGATGAAGGGTAAAAGGTATCGGACCTGGGAGGGAACATATGACCCTGGCTTAGGAAAGGGAGCCAAAAGACCTTACCCATTCCCCACCCCACACACCTGCCTTTGCACTGGGTCATTTCTAAGGTTTATTTTCTAGTGGTCCCCGACACTCCATCTCCCTAACAGTAATTTTTGTCCTGCTAGTTTTCCAGAGAAGCTCTGGTGTGAACTCCATAAATTCTGATTCCCCCAAGGTCCCAAGTAGTTCTTGGTATCACTGCTTTAAGAATCTTAATGACTCCCTACATTTGTTCCGTTGCAGACTTGAGAGAGGTGGACTGCAGGGCTCTTGCCTGAGTGGCTCTCACGTTTTCTCTGAATTTGCATCTAAGACTCTCTGCTGGGATACTTCCCAGCCCCTTTCCTCATTCCTAACTCTACCCTGGGCTGAGAAATGTCCTGGGTCGATTTATAAAGGGGCAGAAATAAGGAATGCTGACTGGGGGGAGTCGTGTTATTTTAAAGCAGAGAAGCACTTTAAATGTCTCTCCAAGAGGGGTCCACAGACTGTTCAGCCCATCAAGGCACCAGAGAATATCCAGCGATGTACCTGAAAGGAAAGGAGGAGGAGGCAGATGGAACTCTCTAGGTGAAATGCCTTCCCCATGCCAGGAAGCTCACTAGTTGTTTTACATAACCTCACTAGCTGCTGAAAAGAAAACAAAGAATGCAAGATTTAAGAGAATGAGAAAGTCAGAGAAGAAGGAATGAAAAGTGTCTCTAAAAAAAAGGCGTGGCCACAGTGACTCAGATGTCATAGATTTATTAGAAGTGCTTTTAAAAAAATAGTACCTGAAAATTCCTCAGAAAGTTGCCAAATTCTTTTCAGAAACATGCCGAAAATACTACAATTGAGATAGATGGATTCCAGCACACACATATATATACAAGCATACACACAGTGACACCTACACTCAGGGATGGGAGTATAGACACATACAAAATAGATCTGCCAGGTCTCAGCTGGGAAAGCACTTACATGGTGCCTGTGGTATCATCAGCATGCAATTGATGTTCTCAGACTTGATATCAAGGAGGAGAAGGGAGGAGAGGATGGAACAGGCAGAAGGAGAAGGTAGGAAGGGTGGGGGTGGGTGTCAAAAAGAAAGATTGAATAGGTGCAAAAGAAGAGAATGGCAGAACTCAGAAATTACATGTTTCAGGTGATGTCTCTACCTTTCTTCCATTGCAGGTGGAGGGAAGTCTCAGACCTATGCTGGTGAGTGACCCAGATGTTTTCTGATTTTCCTGTCACATGTGTCCTAAGTATTTAAACTTTTTCTCTGCTGTGTGACCCATTGCAATTCCAGTGGGAATAATCAGATCTAGCCCAGAGGCTCATTTTCTGTGGGGGATACCACCCCTGATTTTCTGGAGCCTCAGGGAGGACCTTCCAGAGACAGGATCTGGGCATTTTCAGCCACCCCTTACCCTGCAGGCACGGCACACATGTCCACAACCTAGCAAAGCCTAGCCATGTCACCCACTGCCCCATCATGATGGAGAGAAGGAAGTGCACCATTTTTGACAGCTTGTGTGCCTGACCCAGCAGAGCTGTAGATGAAGGAAGCAGGAAATTGGAAGGGACTGAAGAATGGGAGTGAGAAAAGGCTTAGTGATGAGAAGGGGTGGCGGAAGAACAGAAATAATGTCCTTTCCATGTCTGTGTCTCCTGCCTTTCAGAATGGAAGATGACACTCTTCCAAGCTGGTGAGAGAATCATTGTATGTTCCCTAGGACAACCACCTTAGAAAGCTTGTTCCATTTTTCTTCTCCAATTCTTGAGATTCTTGGAAGAACAGTCCCCATGACTGAGAGAGTTCCGAGTGGGTGACGAGGTCCTGGTCTCAAAGGTGTGCCCATCTTCAGGGCTTCCTGCTGACATACCAGAGAACCAGGGAGGATTGCTCTCCTGGGTCCACAGATCTTCACGTGAAGGAAGAGGCAGAAAGTGTAGAGCTGAGGGAAGGAGAGGCAGAGTGAACCAATACTGCAGGGAGAGTGAGGATGTGGAATGACCAAGGAGAGAGGGCAGTGTGCAAAGATCTTTGTTTTTCCCAAGCTTCTTATGCTGCCTCCTGCTGCTGTGTGTCTCCAAGTTGCTTAATGTTTCTGAACTCTAGTCTCCTCATTTTTAAATGATGATCATAATCCCTATTATGTGACAGTTGAGGTAAAGACTAAGTGAGGCAATGAATGTGTATTGATCAAAAAACCAACAAGAAACAGATGGCATGTTGAAACTGGGTAGTTGAAGAGGATTTAGAAAGAAACTATTTACAAAGGCAGGATTCAGGTTAAGGGAAACCAGCAAAGGAGTGTGGAGTGCCCCAGGACTCACCATGGCGAGGAACTGTCATCACCCCTAGGCTTGAGGGAATAGGGAGAGGGAGCAGTTGCTGGAGCCCAGAGGAGGCTGTAGCTCAAGGACAGGCTGCCTGAGAGGAGTCATGCCTTTGTGAGAGCATCACCCTCTGAAGTTGACAGGGAGGAAGTGGGGGAAATACATGCTGTGCCTCTCTTTTCTTTCTCCTTCCAATCTTCAGCTAGTACCTTCCTTTGGCCAAACCCAACAGGTAACCAGAAGCAAGGAAGCCCAGTGATGCTGTCCATATAGGATAGATTCCTGGGGCCTAAAAGATGGTAGAGAAAGGAAGAGAGTGGATCTGGGAGCACAGAAAGTCCCCAGCGTGGCCTCTAACACAGAAAATGCATGGAGCTATTGTAACTTCAGGCACTTCATCCCTGCTTGGCCCTGGACTACATATGAAACAGGTGTTATCTTTTTCTACCCTAGAGATTAGTATTTTTATTCCCATTTTTCAGATAAGGAAATTGAAGCTCAAGGATATTATGTAGCTTCAGCCTATGGAAAAAGAGACTGCACAAAAGGGAAAGTCATTCAGCTCAGGAGTGGTAGAGTAAAGATTGAAATGCAAATCTGTGTGACTATAACGCTCAGGTGGGCAGAGTCATTTTGGAAAGGGAAATAGGAAAAACATGGAAGGAAGGAGTCAGCTTGAGATATCCCGTTAGGCAGACCCAGACCCTCAGAACTCTACCCCACCAAAAGCAAGACTCCTGCGCCTTTCTTTTGGTGTTGCTGAGAGGGTCACATTCAGGGAAGGTTGGGAATACCAGGTCTGGATTTGGACCTCATCAATCACACCCAGGTCTTGAAAGCTGAGGCTCTGAGTTGTAGGAACAATGGCCGACCCCATGGCCCATCCCCAAACTTTCTGCAGTGGATGTGATTCTGGATCTGGACACGGCGAACTCCATCCTCCTTGTTTCTGAGGACCAGAGGAGCCTGCGGTGGGCAGAGGAGCAACAGAATCTGCCAGCCCACCCTAAGAGATTTGATGGGCATTATCGGGTGCTTGGCTGCAAGAGCTTTACATAACGGAGGCATTTGGGGAGGTGGAGGTGGGGGACAGGAAAGAGTGGCATGTTGGGGTGTGTAGGGAGAACGTGAGAGAAAAGTGGGTTTATATAGCACCCAAGAATAAATTCTGGATTGTGGGGCTGTCTGACGGGAATGACTATCTGTCTCTCATCTACCCCAGGACCAATCTGGCAATTGTCAATCCTCCTCAATGTGTGGGAGTTTTCCTGGACTAGGGGACTGGTGAGGTCTCATTCTACAGTGCCATCGTGGATATCATATCTACATCTTCCCACACATCACCTTCTGCGGGCATCTGTGGCCTGTGGCCTGTTTTCAGAATTCAATCATGGGATCCCACTGCCTTGAACATTTGCCCAGCGCTGACCTGAGTGCAGAGTTCTCTTGTTCCTGACCTGGTGTCTGACCATTCCTTGGAGACAACTGTGACCCCAGGATCTGCTGATTGGAATGGGGACCCTCAGGCTGAAGTAACATCCTTGCTCTTCCATGCCCATCCTGGAGCTGAGTGCCTCCTCCTTAAAAGCAACACTTTGCAACAATAAAATACTTACTAAGTGTACACACCGTGTGAAACATGTCACTAATGTTAATTCCATTATTCCATATGACAGTTTAGTTTGGTACCACTTTATTGTCTCCTTTCTATAAAGAAGGAAACAAGGCTGCAGAAAAGTGAATTAACCTTCCAAAGTTTACTCAGCAAGTGAATGACAGCTAGGATCTTAAAAACAATGACTAAAATCCATTGGTAACAAAATGTACTGGGTGCTGTGCTAAATTATTTAGGTGCATTTCCCTGTTTTAATCCTCACTACAACCCTGTGAGGTAGTCTCATTTCAAGAATGTGGAAACTGAGGCAGGGGCAGGTATAGTACTTATATCATTTATACAGGACAGGGGAACCTTCTAGGAGGGGAGACTTTCCACCAAAATCTTTACCTCAGGTAGTAAAGCCTGATTTCCAGAGAGAAGGAAGGGAAGGATGGAAGGGTATGGAAGAATATGAAGTGACAACTGGAGAAATTCAATTCTGTCCAGAGAAGTGAGCCAAGGAAGGTGGAAAACTGTCTCCCTCATCCTTGTATTGTTGGCTTATTCCATGGAATGTTGAATGAATCAATCTATTGGGAGAAAACTGAACCTGAAGGGGAAGGGGGCTGCCCAAGACCAAAGGTGGAGCGTTGATGATCCCAACACAGGTCACAGGAAGGTTTGACCTAGATCAGAACTAGTGTCAAGTCTCCTTGGCTGATTTCTCTGTCTGTGCCTCTAGGTCTCTGGTCCCTGCCGCTCCTGGGTGACTCATCTTTGGTGCTTATGGAGCCAGCGGCTGCCCTGCATTTCTCCCTGCCAGGCTCCCTTCTATTCTTCCACCTCCTCAACTATTTGCACTGGTTTCAGGTGGAGTGCATGCCACTAGCTCCCATCAGCTTCTCAGAAAGGAAAATCAACACTTCAGTCTGCAAAACACTGCAGTCTGAAGAAGTGCTGCAGCTGTGTTCACTCATTCTTTCCTTCTGCACGTGCTCATTGAATTTATACCAGCGCCATCCCGTGGAAATGCAATGAGAGCTACAAAAGGAAGCTGAATATACAATTTTGAAATTTTTACTGAAATTTAAAAAGGTTAATGGGCCAGCCATTGCCATAGTGGTTAATTTCCTGCACTAGACTTCAGATGCCCACGGTTCACAGGTTCTGATCCCAAGCACAGACCTAGTACAGCTCGTCAAGCCACACTGTGGTGGCATCTCACATAAAATAGTGGAAGATTGGCACCAATGTTAGCTCAGAGACAGCCTTCCTCAAGCAAAAAAAACAGAGGAAGTTTGGTAACAGATGTTAACTCAAGGCCAATCGTCCTCACAAAAAAACAAAAAAAATAAAACATAAACAGAAAAAAGCAAAAATATTAAAAAGAAATTGATGAAAAAAATTTTAATAATATATTTTAACCCCAAACTCAAAATACTGTCATCTAGATTTCATTTTATAATATTAACAATAACATATTTAATAGTTTTTATGCTAGATTTTCAAAATTGTCTGTGTTTCTTTTACATTTACCACCCATTTCCATTGGGACCAGCTAGTGGCTACCATATTGGACAGCTCATATACTCTGCTCCAGGCTCTGTGCTAGATTGGGGAATGGAAGGAAACCTCTGTGAGCACAGCGTCAGTAGGGGGCGCTCAGTGTCTGCTTCTCAGTGTTTTGTTCAGGAAGCATTAGCAGCCTCAATAGATATTCCTACTAGGTATCTATTGCTGCTGACCAGCCACAGCTACTGGCTCCCAGAATCCTCAGCCCAGGAAGCCCCTGTGGCCTCAGAAAGAATATGTCTGCAAGAACATATTAGAAATAGAGAAGGAATCTGTCCGTGCCCTGGAATATGCACTTCCTTTCCTGCCTTCGATATTTGGTGGCTGAGGCCCCTGTCTGATTCTACCCCTTTGTTGAACAGAGCAGTCTACTGTCTTGGGAACAGCTGATCCATCCAGCCATGATGGGAGGAACAGCATGTTCTGCTGCCACCTGTCACCTGAGAAAAGCGCTGAAGACATGGAAATGTGGTGGTTCCGGTGTCAGTTCTCCCCCGCAGTGCTTGTGTGTAAGGGCGGGCAACAGAGGACAGAGGAGCAGATGGAGGAGTACTGAGGAAGGACAACCTTTGTGAAAGAGGAGATCAGCAAGGGGAGCATGGCACTGATCATCCACAATGTCACAGCCCACGAAAACGGCATCTACCATTGTTATTTCCTAAAAGGGAAATCCTAAGATGAGGCCATCATGCTCCTGATGGTGGCAAATGTGTCATTTCATTTTTTCTGTTCATTTTCACAGTGTGACACTTGGGTAAAGTTTCTCTCCGAACCCCATGCCCATGGCAGAGCAGCAGATATTTGCCTGGAGTCCCATTTACACAGGGAGGGTGGCTTCCTCCTGCCCAAGGGCCAGATGAGTGGGTTTGCCCTGCTCGGCTGTGGGCATCAACCCTTGAGAAGCACACAGAACTCAGCTGTAGCCTTGAACAGGGAGAAAGTTGAATCCCTACAGGTTATTCTTATGCTTACTTCTTAGAGATCTCTGAGGGTCTTCCTCAGTAACGTGTGTTAGAATTAGACATTTTTTTCTTAGGAAATACAATACACGTACAGAAAAACTCATTACTGTACAGGTTACTGATATTGTGAATTATAATCCACATAACCACTACTGACAACAACAAAGAGCAGTGCCTATTCCTCACACATGTTAGTTTGCTGGGATCATGGTCTTGAGGTTAAAAAGTTTCATAAGATTCTGCCAGCCGGGCAGGTTTCTGTCCTTATCGTATTAACCTAGAGTTTCAGGAAGCCAAGGCTACTGAGAAGCTCTACCAGGGCCAAAAGCGGAGTCTTCCACCTGCTTGTTCCTGGTCAGAGTGGACACACCCACACAGAAGTGAGAACATTAAAACTTTTAGCTGAATGAATCAATCAACAAACACTTATTAGCAGCAGAAGCTTGGTACTGTGATGGGGCCTGTAGGTGGAGCACAAAGAAAAGTGCAATGTCATCCTTTGTCCTTAGAGATCTCACCATTGTATTTGGCGTTTTGGTCTCTCTACATTCTCCAATGTCAAGGTTTTCTTCCTTCCTTTTGTCCTTCCTATCTTCTTCCTTCTTTCCTCATCCCTCTCTTCTTTCCTTCGTTCCTCCCTTCACAGAAGGGGTACAGCAAGGATGCATGGACTATGCATAATCAGTTTCTCTGGGCTCTGGACACTTGCTCTCTCCCCGCTTCCCTTGGCTTTCACTGCTAAGACACTCTTGCTAAGACACCATTGCCTTTTTATCTGAGCCCTGGTCTCTCTCCTCAAGTCTGGTCTCTAAGCCCCTCATTGAAATGAAGGGCCAGGAGGATGGGGGCATCTGGCTGGAGTGCACATCTGTAGAGTGGTACCCAGAGCCCCAAGCAGTTTGGAGAGACCCTTATGGTGAGATCATATTAGCCCTGGGGGACGCTTGCACTGTAAGTGCAGGCAGCCTCTTCATGGTCACCATGGCTGTGAGCATCAGGGACCACTCTGTGAGGAACGTGTCCTGCTCCATCAATAACACCCTGCTTGGCCAAGAGAAGGAAACTGTGATTTTCGTTCCAGGTTAGTTCCCTGCCCTCTGGAGCCTCATTGTGTGGATGCAGAATCCTCAACAGTCATTTTGGAGGCTGGAGTGTAAATGGGGAGGTAGGGGTGTGGGGTGGAATGGTCCTGGGGCCTGAAAGGCTGGAGGCTGCAGCCTCTTTCCTTGTCACAAGGGAAAATGTTATGGACCTGTTATGGTCCTTATCCTGTCGCAATTTTTAAACATTTAGAAGAATCATAAAACATGGAGAGTGTTATGGGTGGGTGTCTATCTACAGCCAGAGGTGCTGCCTGCTGAAGCTCCTGGGTGACTCATCTTTGGTGCTTATGGAGCCAGCAGCTGCCCTGCATTTCTCCCTGCCAGGCTCCCTTCTTTTCTTCCACCTCCTCAACTATTTGCACTGGTTTCAGGTGGAGAGCATGCTACTAGCTCCCATCAGCTTCTCAGAAAGCTCTGTAGGCCAAGAACTGGGATGAAGAAGGATGAAGGATGAGGACCCATCTGGATCTCACCTGGTTCAGGTGTCTGTGCAATAAACAAGCAGTCAGTACTTAGTTATTGAGTAGGGACTATGGTTTATAGTCCCAGCTGAGCAGGTGAATACTGGACCAAGTGGATCACAAGTTTGGTTTGGTGGGGAGAGCAACAGTTTCCATCTTTTTTGGCCTAGGCTGCCTTTGAAAACTTAAAATTATTGAGGACCTCAAAGAGCTTCTACTCATTTGGGTTATATCTGACAATATATATGGCATTAGAGATTGAAATTGAGAAATTAAAAATATATATTTATTAATTTCCATTATAATAGTAATAATAAGCCAATTATTGTTAACGTAAAAACATATTTTATGAAAAATAACTATTGCTGCTAATGCAAAGCAAACTTTATTGAGAAGTATGGTATTCTTTAACACAAAAATCCAATGTCTGGCTGACTAAAAGATGGCTACATCTTCATATCTGCTTCTGTATTCAATGTTGGGGTATCACAGGTCATGCAGGCTCTAGCAAACTTCACTGTACACGCGTGGGAGAATGATAAAAAACACAACAAATAATATCTTAATAGTATTGTTATTATAGAAATAGTGCTAACTTGTGGACTCCTCGAAAGTGTAACAGAGCCCCTTAGAAATCTTCAAGACATATTTCGAGAGCCAGGATGGAGGATCCTGGAACTAAGTCAGGCATCTAAAATGATGGCTTAAAGGTCGGATACTGGACTTTACATAATTCAGTCCCCAATTGTAAAACTAGGCTGAAAAAAACGTATTTAAAGTATCCAAATTTTTATTACTGCACTTACAAATGGATACATTCTGGAAAGAATCAGGAACATTGAAATAGCTGATTTCATAAGAGGAAAGACTGGGTTATTACTGTGTGTATGTATGTGTTGTTTTTATTTTTGGTATGTTGTTGTAATATT